GGTCCGGAGGTGGAGGGGTGGGGGGCCCCAGAGCCTCGCTGCAGGGAGCTTTCTGGAGCCTCACCTCCACCTGCAGCAGCCCTATCCTATGCCGGGAAAGCAAACGTAGGAAGGCTCTGCTAGAAAAAAACAAGTTTTCTACTTAAAAAATTTGAATAACACTGCTTAGGAAGATCGCCCTCACGGAACCACCATGAAATCTGAGTAGTGAGGCTGGAAAATCTGGGTTTCGATCGCGGTTCTGCCACCTTCCACCTTGTTGCCTGGTCAAGCACCCAGCTGGTCTTTGACTCTCCTGCAGGACAGAAACGAAGCCTCTGCCCAGCTTCTCGGCGGCCCCAGCGCCCGGCGGCTGTGCCGCTGGAGAACGCGCCTATCTGCACCTCCGATTCCTCGCCCAGGAGGCAGGTAACGACCCGACTAATCTCACGCTTCGAAAACTAAAAGTTGATATTTGTAAAGATCTTAGAACAATATCAACACACAGCAAAGTGCAGATAAGTGCCTGTTAGAATAAGCAATTTTTCTTCAGATAATAATCAGGGTCCAAAAATCAAAACTTTAAGCGGCAGAAATCATCTGAACATGGGCCATTTTTCAGATAGTTTTAGAGCCACGCCAGACGTCCTGGGTGTCGTCACGTCACTGCAGTTACGTGTCCTCGTACCTGGGAGACACGCTGAAGTACACAGCGTGAGGGACCGTGATGCCTGCAGCATCATCTCAAAAACTCAGAACATAGAAACAGACGCAGGTAAAGCGCGCAGGGCAGCAGCGTGAACGAACTACGAGAGGCTCTGTGGGTGCTGTTCTATTCTTTCCAGTTTTTCTGCAGGTTTAAAGTTTTCCAAAACAAAGGTGAACAACTTGGGGCGGGGGAAGGGAGGACGGGGAGGTCTCGAGTCCCCCCTTGAATTGGTCTGTCCCATTCCCGCCACTGTCGCGCGTATCCTCGGTATCCATCCTGTCTATCGTGTGAGAACAAGCAAACATTTAAACCGATTTCACGTTTTACAGGATGCTTTCAACGACAAAATGATGCTGTAAGAAGTGCTTTCGACAGCACCCACTCTAAGCCGTCGACAGGAAGCAAGCGGGACTGTGCGGAGGGAGCACACTCTCCGCGCGTCACCTGCGGGTGCGCTGTCTGGATGCATCATGACCAGCGTGCGAAACGCTCAGATCGAAATGGCCGAGCTACGTCAGCCCGCCGTCCGGGCATTGCCTCCGGCCCCTGATCTAAAGCCACAGCCCTGCCTCTTCGGGACTGCGCCTGTCTTCCCTCTCCGAAGGAAGGGCTCCCCCATAACCTCTGCCTCGTTCTGGGGGCTTAACGAAGTATCTGCTGACCAGACGGGGGACATGGGTGTGGTGAATGAGCTGTCTCCAGGGACTGTCCCCTGAGGAGCCGTCCAGCAGGCCACTGCGCTCTGCCCACCCTGCCCACCCTGCCGCCGTCATCCTTATTGCGCCATGTGAGAGGGCTCAGAGACGCAGACTCTACGGGCCGGGGGAGCCGGGAACTCCCACACAGCAGCCAAAGCGCCTTTGTTAAGATGTTTCCTTTGTCATCATAAAACTTAACCTGAAACGACTTCTAGTCTATCTATCTGATCGAAGGTTCTCTGTAAACAAAGACTCCAGCACTTTGGAGTCACCTGCATCCAGGAGTGGCAGCCCAGTCACTGGCACCCCTCCCCTCCCCGCCCTCCCAGATCAGGGCTGGAGCTGGGCGGGGGTCCTGCTGGGCCCACGGCCTGCAGGCAGAATGGCGGGCAGTGCTAGGCCGCCTCCGTCAGGTCTCCAGACCTGTCTCCCCGGAGAGGCCAGATGGCCTCGCCTTGGGAAAGCATGACAGCCAGCGGCTGCTCCAGGCTGTCTCACGGGCTGGGTTTCTACGTTCAACAGACGAGAATGGGCCACAGAGAAAGGATCAATGAAGTCTTTTGGGGGGGGTGGTGGTATGGAAGGTATGAACACCAACACGCCCTTCAAAACTGCCGCTGAACCCACCTAGAGCCCAATTCCTCTGAGTGTGTGTGGGGTGAGAGAGAGAGAGAGAGAGAGAGAGAGAGAGAGAGAGAGAGAGAGAGAGAGAGAGAGATAGAGAGAAAGCACAGACAAGAGAGAAAAAAAAACAA